ACACGTAGTTTTATGATAAGCCGGTCCATACGGCTTCGAATCTCGTCACGACCGCCCAAGGTCGCCGACGCGTGCCCGTGGCTGATCGGCAGCAGAGTAAGGTGGCGGACTTTGAAACCGAGATAAGCAGGCGCTCGGCGACCCGCCGGAAAGACAGCACGCACTGGCCCGGGCACCCAACGGCGGCAGCGTCGACCCAGCCTGTGATCACCGTGACATAGTCTTCTCTTTGCGCGCACGACAACCCAGCCTTGGCCCCTGTGGCGGGAGGATTGGTGGGACGACATGATATCGATATCCAGGCCACGAGAGGCAAGACAAGTCGAGGCGCGCAGTGTCCGTCCAGCACTGGCAGTCGAATCCCGAGCGACGCCAGCGGGTGCAGTCCCTGCATAAAGGCAGTCAGAACTTCGCCACCGACGTAAAGATAGACGCGAAACGCACCGGTGAGCCGCTTTAGTCCCCCTATCTGCGGATTCGTGTCCTGACAACGGGCGACGTAAAAAGGACGTTGCTCTTCATGCGTTTAGAGCGCCGTGGCGGGTGGGTGCTCAGGTGCATTCTTCAGTGATCTGGACGTGGGCACGTTTCGAAGCACGGCACGGGCACGGTATGGCACGGTCGTTCTGGCAGCCGACTGGCGGAAGTATGCGTCGCGTCTGTCACCGAGCTCTCGTCAGTGGAGAAGGCCACAGAGAAGGCCACGCCACGCACGCTCCATGACTCGAGCTATGCCGCGTTCGAGTCTCCGCGTAGACAATCTGGTTGCCGGCGCGTTCGTGCTGGCTGTGTAGTTGGTGGACGTGCAGAAGAAGAAGATGACGCAATGTGTCACAGTGATTGACAGCCACCATGTGAGTGACATTTTTTAGTTGTGTAGGTGGGAAATGTTACTGGGAATATGTCAAGTTGTGGAATTAATTTTTTGTTCAAAAAAACTTTCAAGTTTTTCAGCCCCAAAAATGATTTACTTGGCTGGGGTGACAGGATTTTCAGGACCAAAATATTTAATGTTTTTCAATGAGTTTTGGGCCAAAAAGAAAAACTTTACATATTCCTAGTGATGTTTCCCACTTGAATATTTTTGAATCATGGCTGTGATAGATGGAGAAAGAACAATCACACCCAAAATTATGCCAAAGAAACTATATGAATATAAGTAATTCCCCACATCAGCAAAAAAATGGACTTCCAGTCAAGGGCTTACTGGGCCTTGAAAATGGCAAAATTGGCAAAATCAACTGCAAGATCCCGCTGGGCTGTCAGTGGGTCAACGGGCCTTATAAACGACCATCAAATTGCACAAGTTGTAGGATTTTAAGACAATGGGCCAGTGTGGCGGGGACTGGCCTGCCCGTTTACGCTTTGCCAAGGGACGGTCTTACAAATAACCATCAAATTGTCGGAGCAGAGAACGCTGTTCGCACTGAACAGCTTTGTTGTCAAGGGTAGAGCAGGCAGTCAAGATTTCTTGATTGGGACACAGGAAAACTGTACAGAAAATTCGTATATTTGATAGGATTTAATGAATGAGAATCAAGTTGGGGAAGGAACGGGGGAGGCTGGTATGACGCTGGGAACCCGTTGAGAGAAACACCAAACACCGACAATTGCTGCTTCCGGCACCTCCCAACTCTGCAAACAACGGGGCAGCCTCAGGGCCAATGACTGGCCCAGGGGGAAACTGAGTTGAGGGGGCTCTATTGACTCCATGGCAACATGTTTGGCAGTGCGGAGGTGTGGAGGCATTCGAAGTCAGAGGAACCGGCGGCACCAGACTCCATCGTAGAAGCAGTGTGTTTGTGGACATTGCAGCCAGAACCTGAGCCAAAGACGTGGCTATGTATAAATCCGCATGAAGTAAACAATGAAATGGAAGACTTACTGGTTGAACTATCCAAGGATTACCATGCTCACTGAATCAGCAAGGAGCTCTTTGACGTTGATGTAGAACTTTTAACTCCATTGGTGGTCAGATAGCACATAGCAAACCTGTGATATAGCCCAAGTCAGTATATGGTAATAGAAAGGTTGTTGAATTTGTGCACTCCATCATTCAGCACCGGCATGTGCCTATTTGAAGAGCGTGCTAAGATGGCAAACTTGCATGCTGGCGGATTCGAGTGAATCTTTGCAATTTTGGGACTAGAAACCAAATTTAGTACATGTCTAATAGTGGCTATAGATACAGGATACCTGAAGCTTCAACACATTGAAATCAGACTCTTGTTGAGCCAATTTATCCCGCAGTTGCGTCCAGCTCAGGTTCACCTATGTGTCCAGTCCCACTGTGAGTTATCAGGTCTATTGTGCTGCATAGGACCTGATAGGTTCGCAGTGCTTCTATCATTTACCATAATAATGAATAATTCCTGGATATAAGGATGAATAATGTTAAGTTCTAACACTTGTTTTTTGTCTAACTGCTGTTGAGTCTGCTATGAGGTCTGCCAGACAGCCTGTTATCAGGCTGCTATATGCCAACCGCCATTATCATTACTGCGAGTGTAAGTGATAGCATGTTATATCTTTAACAGAGCTGCAGCTTCAGCCTTAGCCTTACACTCCTCTTACTTATGCTTAGATATTTTTAAAAGTTAGTTAGGGCTCAGCCATCGTTACTTGACTGGCCCAGAGTAGATATTAGAGTACTAGTAGGCCGGTGAAGGGGCTTAGCTTTCAAGGGCTAGACATGTTATTCAAATGGGGAATTAGAGAAGTCTGATACTTACATGTATCTATTTTGCTTTGCATATGCTTTATAAGTTTATGCTGCCATAGAGCCTCTGCTAGAACAGTATAAAGGCAATAGTTCAGGTATTCCACATGTGTCTTAACCTCCATATCACATTAAGATCAAACATTTCAGAAGAAGTGTCTTGAGGGCAAGTTGAGGCTTAATATGATACTGTAGTAGTTTACTCAGTTCATATGTCACGTGTCACACAGGCTATAAAATTCGATTTTTTTCACATGTCACACCATTTTGCTCAAATGCCTGTCCTAAAAAGGCAAGTTATGACGTTTTCAGGCGCCTCCAGCGCCAAGAACTTCCCAATTAGGAAATAATTCGAATTCAAATTTTCGTATCAAATGTCACACTGTTTTTGCCATCTGAAATGAGTAAAATATTACAGTATCTCATAATTGCATTATAGGTTACATTATAGATAAAGTAAGACTTCCACTTTACAACTTTTTAAAATTAGCTGCTTAATATAATTCAAAAAAAAAAAAAAAAAAATGTATACCTTTTGACAGGCTTAAATATAAGACTGGCAATGTGCATTTTAAAAGTCTTTGATTTTGTCCGTAGGTTTAGACTGATGTGCCGCATCTGAAATTTTGTAGCGTGTTGAGCATACCGCTGCTGGCAAACAGTGCGTTAAGTGGATGAAAATTGAAGAATGGCTCATGCTTATGTATATATTTGAATATGTATTGAACATATGCGACATACTTGCAGATTCACAGCACCTGTTAATCCCACATATCTCTTCTAATTAGAAGTGAGGGGTCTCACTTCTAATTAGAAGAGATGACTGCAAAATAGCTATGCTGCAATAATTCTCAAATATCTTGCTGCAGCATAGGCTCTGAGTTTCCCTCTACGCTACTAAGTCCTATCCTATGGTGCTATAGCTGCTATAATTCTCCTGGTATCTGGGTCTAAGTCCAAGTGTGACAAAATCATGCATTTGTCACGTTTATCACTCTGTGTGACATGAGTAACATCTACCCCAAGAAGGAAAATTTCCGGGTAAGTAGCTAAAGAGTGACTGGTAGTTACATATATACAAAAATGAAACTATTATGATAACTGTAATATATATAGAGTGATAGGTATGACAAATGGCCAAAAAGGAAATTATCAGAGAATGTCACAGATTGTCACAAAATCAAAGTTGCATACTTTGACTATATAAACAACTTCCATGAAGTAACCCATAGTAACAGCTCAATAGTTATATATGATGAGTGAACCATGATATTTGATCCTCATCATATCATATGATCATTATAGTGACTATTCAGTCATAGCAAAGGAAATATTTAGTACTCCGACATTATGAGGTAGATGATCTATATATCTAGAGAATTCAAATCAAGGCTCTAGTATGTCCATCTTCAGTCTAAAGTCAACATCACCCTGAAAATCCCCTGAAACCACTCATCAGGGGGTATTTGATCTCCATCAACTGCCAAAAATATCTATGGATCTCTTGCTAGTTAGGGCAGATAAAGCCGGGAAGTGGGGGTAGGGGGTTCCTGGGGGGTAAAAAAACTTTTTCTATATGAAAGATTTGAGCCTTATATGGGTGTAAAGACACTGAAATATGGTGTATACACTCTAACTTCACAACCATACTTATATCGATATACTTTCAGGCCTATGAGCTTTGTCCCAGGCCCATCATCAGGTAATGGCAGAAAAAAAAGATTTGCGATTACCCAAGCATTTCCCCCGATGAGGAGATGATCCTCCAGTTTTTACGGACATCTGCGTTGAACCCGGTGCGGCCAGGTACCGATGGCAGTTACTCCGCACATTAGGGGAACCGCGACGTGTTCGTCGTGGATTATGGTTCTGGGAATCAAATTGAGAGTGACATCAAGCGCGGTGGCATCAGCATGTGCTGGATGACACATCGCCGTCGTCTTGTCAGTGACATCCATCTCCACTTTCACGACCTTCACTTTGACGATCTATCACCTGCCCGCATTCTGCGGTACAGCTACCTCCAAGCCTCAATGGTGCGCAGGTTCGCCGCATTCCGTCCCTCATAAGGGGCCGCAAAAACTGCGCGCTGGAGCCACCCCTGGGTCCCGGGTACTTACCGTTCTGACGCTCCCGAGGGCAACCACTGCGCGCCGACTGTTCTGGCTGGAGCCGCCTCCCCCAAGTCCGCGACACACGCAGGCTGCATCTAATCGCCGTATATTCACCGACCCCGCCTACTACTTCCACTATCGTACACTTCGCTTGCTCTTCCCCTCGCTCACTCGTCCGCGCGGAGCACCTCGTCGTGGACGTGCTCGTGCTCCTCCTCGTCGTCGAAGTCGCGGGCGGCGATGTCGGCCTCGTCCTCGTCGTCCTCAACGTCCCGCGCGTCAAGCCCGACGTCGTCCTCGTCCTCCTCCTCGTCCTCCTCCTCGTCGTCGCCGGCGGCCTCGCGCACGTCGAGCTCGTCGAAGAACTCGTCGAACTCGTCCGCGAAGCCCGTCGGGCGCGCACGCGGCGTCTCGAGCGCGCCGGTCAGCTACACTCATCATCAGCGCCTCCGAACACTAATCGAGCGAAGAGGAGACGCACCGCGCCGGTGGGCGTCGCCGCGGCCCCCGGAGTCTGCCCGCCGCCCGTGACGGCGATGGGGAGGCGGTCGACGTTGCCGGTGGCTTGGTTACGTCCCCCGGTCGGGGTGGGGCGCGCGCCGGGGGTCTCGCCTGCGCCGGTTACCGCGATGGGGAGCCGGTCGACGTTGCCAGTGGCCTGGTTCCGGTTCCGCCCGCGACCGCGGCCGGCGCCGGGGGTGGGCCGCGCACGGGGCGTCGCGAAGCCCGTGACCTGGGCGGTGTCAGCTTGGCCCGAGGAAAGGAGCAAGGCACGTACGACGCCGGTGGGGACCGCGATGGGGAGGAGGTCGATGTTGATCGTAGCTTGGTTGTTGTTGCCGCCCCGGACGCCGGTGGCCTGGTTCTTGTTGCCGCCGCGTACGCCGGTGGCCTGGTTTTTGTTGCCGCCACGTACGCCGGTGGCCTGGTTCTTCTTCCCGCCGCGGACGCCCGTGGCCTGGTTGCGCGTTCCGGTCACGGCGCGGCCCGCAAGCTCCTGCCGCGTCTGTTAGCCACTGGCGGAAGAAACGAGGAAGGGGACGCACCGCAGAAGTCAGTTTACGCGGGATGCCCGTCGCGAGGCGCACCGGCGCAGGGGCCGGCTCCCCGGCAACGGGCGCCGGGACGGGCGCGGCGAGGGTGTGCAGCGCCCAGAGGAGGGTGGAGAGGAATGCGACGGAGACGCGCATGGTTGTGTTGCCAAGAAGGAGAAGTGGGTGAAAGTAGGGTGGAAGTGGGATACAGACGAGCGCACGGCACTGATGCAAACAAAAAGGAGGGAGGGTGTGGGTGGTGCAGGCTCAGCCGGTCGACTTTTGCCTGCAGCACAGAGTGCTATATATAGGGCGTGCCCACCCAGCTGCGGACTGTCGGGATGTCTGGGCACACGGGAGCGGCGTCGCCCCGCCAATCAGCAGCCCGCAGTCCAGGAAGTCGAACATGAAGGAGAAGCGGATGACGAAACCCGAGGAACGCGCCGCGTCGGGCTCCTCGGGGATGCCGCCGGCCCGTCCGGGTTTCTCCGCCCTGTGCGGTCATGGTTGTGGGCGCAGTCGCGCCGTCGACGTACGGGCTCGAGCATCCGCCCCGCCACATGCCGTGGACAAGTTCACGCCCAGTCGGCGCCGCAGCATGCGCACAGCACGATGCAGCTTTGCGCACAAGCCCGAAGCGACGCTGCGCCACCAACAGTGGATGATAATATGATCCGCGACGACGATCCGGCACACGATGTTCATAAATTAGAGGGGCAACCAACGGACGCGCGCAGCTGCGCACTTAGGCGATATAAGGCGAAGCGCGAGCGTGTGGGATCCTAATATTAACTATAGCTGCCCCCGGAACCATCCGCCGGGAGCTGCACACTGGCTGCACAACACGTGAATCTCCACCCTCGACGCGCGTGTAACTTATCCTCGTCCCGGGATCGCCCGCGGATCGCCGCCGATCATGATCCATCATCGTTGCGGCCCCGTCTGCCCGCGAGCGCAGACGCGCCGGGTGTCCCGGTGTGGCTTGGCGCCACGCGCGACGACAATGTCCCCGACAATGGTCCGCGGCTGCGCAGCGCTCCGCGGCCCCGGCCCTCGCTGCTCGTCGTTAGCTGGCAGCCGGGTGGCCGGAAATCTTTCTGCGGGACTTTGCTTACATTCATTACACTGTATTGACTGTGAAGCGTGATACAGAAAAAGGGTAAATTTTGGCTGTCAAAAAGTGCACTTGGCTCCGACAATAAAAGCTGTCTCGAACCTCTGGCCAGAGGCCAGATGCATCGGAAGCATCATTGAGGTGTGTGAAGTGCGAACGCAGCACACACTTCCATTCATGCACCACACACTTCCATGATCCCAACTAGGTTAACGTTGTCTGGGAAGCTGAGGAGTGAAGCAATAAGCAATTGTGCGGGCCAGAATTATATTATGGTTGATATATTCAGAATATTATAAATATATTATGCCTTTGGTCCACGCACCGACACGTCGAGTAACACCGCGGTCCGCCCCTTTTCGTTCCTTTCACCCACCTTCTTTGTTCTCCCATGCCCAAGAGCCCCAAGGCCAAGGGCCACTCGCGTGCCAATCCAGTCACCGCCTCTCCTGTCTAGTGCTGGCCAGAATTATATTATGCTTGATTAAATATTGAATATATTCAGAATATTACGAATATATTATGCCCTTCGTGGATTACTTGAATATGATTATATTTGAATATATTATATTATATTATATTATATTATGATTATACTATATTATAGTTACAGAATATTCAACTATAGTGAGGTGGATGATTACAGCTATTTTCTCAGTCCATGTACTCAGTCATAGTACTAATCCTAGCCCTACTTCTGATAAATATCATATATTATCTATTATCTATGGTGATTCATACATTACTCTTAGTAGGAACAAGTGTCAGGAGTGATCAGTTTGGGTTGACCCTATTAAACATAGTGTAGGACCTCTGATCAAGTATCTACTGGCTAACCTAATACTAGTGGCAATGCCCCTGACTGTATTTTGAGAGTCCTATGTAACCTGGGGAGGCCCCAAAGGAAGTTGCCCTGACAATCCAGCATGTATTTTATGTTTTTAATTCTTTTTTGTAGCAGCAAATATGTCACATGCAATATCCTCGAGAGACGTGCTGTCAGACTGCGGGTGGGGCCGTGCAAGAACCTCTCCTAAAGAACGCGCGCCCGGAACAGAACAGACGGATAGTTGGGCCCGCAAGCGCGGGCGGGCAGGGTAGATCGAAACCGAAAGGGCCCGTGAACTCGGTCCCTTGCCGTGGTCGGTGGTCGAAGGTTCGAATCGGGTCGTGTTGGGCCCGATGAGTCGACAACGCCTCCTTGCACGGAGTAAGGTAGTTCTTTAGACGATCTAAGCGATAGAGTACAGGGTACACTATCGCGCCTTATATACGCGGGCCCGCAAAGGGGGTGATCGGACACCTGACCTCTACTCCTCCTCCTCGCTCCCGTTCCTGGCCGCAGAGGGACGATCGTACATCCCTTGCGGGCCAGGCGCTACTCCTAACCTCCTAGCACTCCTCCCCAATCCCCTTGTGTCGAGTTGGGCTCGGCGATGGCTCGACGCGTCGTTCTCGGTCATGTGCTTCCCACGTGTGCGTTCCTCTTACTGGGGCGCATGTTCCCCGTCGTCACGTGCTGCGTGCTATGGGCCCGCGATGGCCCGACACCAGCGCCGGAGCGGACGGGCCGGGTCTTATCCGTGACACGTGCCATTTCCATTGCGGCCGAGGTGGTAGAGGGTTACAGCCAGCTGGAGATTGACTGACTTTTGAGGGCTGTTTGAGTTGTTGGAGAAGACAGGATGGTCCTTGATAAGTTTGAGAAGGACCAAGAAGACGAAGGGCATGTTTTTGAATCGCTTCTGGTCATCTTCGGTGCCCTGGGCATAGATCCAAGCCAAATGCAGATTGCTGGCTTTGACCACACACTCGCAGGGGCTGAGTTAGCATGTATTTCGGAGGGGTTTGAGTGTTTTAATGTCGGCCATCATCCTGTTGAGAAACTCTGCAAGTTCATCGTCCTCAGCATTGTCCCGAGCGCCGCCTTCTCCAAGCAAGGCCCTAGTGTCATACCTTTGAAATAGACTGTTATACCACTTTTTGGTAGTTTTTCTATCTCAAATTTGATCAAGCACAATGATAGCTTGATATCTGGGTAAGGAATATATGGATAATCATAATCTAAGTTGTTTTATAGTTTGATAGATCCCTATAATAGCTTAGGTAGGTATATATATATATTTTTAGACATTCTGTGTGCCTATGTATATAGCATATTGTGTGTTATGCCAATCTCCTAATATCTCACTTGAAGGCAAGGAGTCTCCCATGAGATAAAGGTAGGAAGCATACAGAGGGTTACCCCCAAGAGATATTATGCCTCTCATAATGTTTTATCTATGTAATCTCATGTAATTCTCATTTATACACATGACTGCTATTATACATCCCATTAACAATACAGCCATGATCTATTTGTTAATTATGGATCAAAATATGTCAAGTGTAGTCAATGAGGTATATCCAGGTACCTACATACTCTAATTGATGACTGTATGTTCTTGAATGATGAATTGGGGCAGATATTCGACTACAGGTTTGGTGCATCTGGATGACCTGAGTATATGGACCAGTAGGTGTATAATCCACCTTCTAGAAAGTGGTGCCCCCTCATCACCAGCATATCACCATCCTAGGTTATATAGCACTAAAGGTCTTTAGTAATTGACCAACTCTAATACTCACTGTATGGTTGGGAATAGGTAGGTGTGTGGTGGACCATCCTATGGTACTATATCAACTTGGATCATAAAGTCCTATGCATGGGGTCCCAAGATATCAGTAAAATACTCTGTAACTCAGTATTCAATCATGCTTGGTAGTTAATAGGTTGATGTGATGGTACCAGATGAGATGGCCGACTGGACAGACTAATAGTAGGATGATATACCTTTCAAATAAGCTCCCTCCCAACTTTATCCACCCAGGCTAGCTAGAGATTCATGGTTATCTTTCAGGGTTGATGGAAATCAAATACTACTGATGAGTAAATACACTGCATAATCGGGATTATATTGACTTGGGATTAGGGATAGACACACTAGAGCCTCAGCTTAAAGTCTCTGGCTATATAAGTCATCTTCCTTATAATGTTGGAGTACCAGATATTGTCTTTTATATGATGAAATACTAACTACAGTGATTATATCATATGATGGTGACGAGATACCATATTTTATTGATAATACTCTTTAAAACCTTCCTGACAGTACTTAAATCATGTATTTCCATTAAGTACTTACGGAGATAAAGGCTCATCAGTTTTAAATCAGTAAATGATTAGCTGGTACTGCCACAACTATTCAGCCGCCACTATACGTTACTGAATAAAAGTTGTTCATATAGTCAAAATATACAACTTTGGGTTTGTGACAATCTGTGACATAGTCTGATGATTGTACCGTCAAATGGTGAAATTTTCCTTTTTTAGAAAGTTGTCATGCTTATCACTCCGTATTACAGTATATAACAGCACGGCATAGGTACTGAATGGTGGTTATTGACCAAAAGTTCCTTTTTAGGACACTTTGTCACATGTGACAAAGTGGACTTGGTTCCGATAGCCTATGTCATATTATTCACCTTTATTCACCCCTACATTCTGGACTTAGCGAAAAATTTGCTGTGGACTTCACAATTATTCACCCCCTTCACCAACAATTATTCGCCACTTAGGGAATTGCTAATAACGCTGGGGCTTATCAGTGGCAACCTGGGTCGTTGCCACTGATAATGTACAGTGTGTTGTAGGCTAAACAGGTGCTACAAAAGTACCTGGGTTAGGCCAGACGTCCCTCTTGCAAGTACAAAGCGTGTGTCCTCGAGAGTGGGTCCCTTGTATTAGCGTCGCCAAGTGTACCTAGCCAAGAAGAAAAAACCTAGAGCAAAAGACTTAGAGTAACGACCTAGAGCAGAAGAGGAGAGGGCGTGGGAAAGAGGCGTGATAAATTTGGCAATAGTAACGGGGTAGGGGAGGGGTTTGGGTAGGTGGTAGGACTTGGAGGTACAGAGGTATGAGGGTAGGAGGGTAGTCTTTGAATTATGTCACAAACAACACCAATTCAGAGGATGCCAGTTGGCAAGTGAAGGCAAGCAAGAA